TCTGTCCATGAAGAACTCCTCTGAATTGGATTGGATTGGATTGGATTTTCTATTATTAACCCCCCCCCCGGAATTTCCCCTGAAACAACGGATTCCTCGGTTGAGCTCCACTGCCGCCATCCTTAATTCTCAACCACATGAACCACATGGTAGAAAGAAGTTCTTGGAAAAGGGTGATCGTGAAGAAAGACCGGAGGAGAATGACGCAGCTGCCGGCCGAAGATCTTCTCCTCGAGTCACTCACTCACTCACTCACTCACTCACTCAGCCTTTCGGGATTTTCGGGGGAAATATCGCGCGCAGATGATTGTGATACGTAAGTTACATATCACACTCGATGGGATGAACCGAGATTAGACTACAAGTTCAACATCCTTGGCAGTGCTGTCTGTGTATGCTCTGTTGATGTGCTGCTGGAAGAGACTCAACTCAATCAGTTCCAGTTCTTTGTCTGACTTACTTCGAGGTTCTTATATAACATGGTTCAACCCACCGAGGCTACCTGCCCAACTTCATTCGTCATAGCATCCATGATAGCAACCAGAACCACACTCTCAAAATTGAGATGGGAGAGGATGTAACATCCATCTCCAGATGTAACCACAATCAGCCTGACTTTCGGCTCAATTGAAACAGCCCAAACCCCCCAGAGCCGGTTGATCTGCTTCAACCTGTCTGGATTGCGCCCGCAAAGGCCGCGCAAATCACAAGCAGCCGAGCATGCGATTTAATATAAAGTAACCGCGGGGAATCAACCACTGCACCACTGCACCACTGCACCAACCAGCCTATCAGCCATTTATCTTTGCTGGGTTTCCCCTCCCCCGGATATCTCTCTTCCCCTCATTTTCACTTCCTCATTCCATTCGGTTCTGGTGTCCACATAAGATCATGGCCACGAGGAATGTTGAATCGGGGACGAATGCGCTCCCTCCATCGGGACCGGTCTACAAGGTCTACAAGCGACGATTTTGGGGTTTGATCCAGCTGGTGCTGTTGAACATCGTTGTTAGTTGGGATGTAAGTTGCAAGTGCGTAAATGTAAAGCAAAAATAAAAACCCACGCTCTAACATCACGCGACAGTGGTTGACCTTCTCTTCGATCTCGACCACCGCCGCCGAGCATTTCAAGGTCTCGGAGAGCGCCATCAACTGGATGAGCACCGGCTATCTCTTTGCCTTCTGCGCCGCCAGCCCGTAGGTTCACTTCTCATAGTTCATCACCCAAATAGCATGGGCACCAAACAGCACGCACCTAACTCGGGACTCTCCCATCCAGCGTCGTCATCTTTACCCTCAACAAAGGCGGCCCCAAGCCCGCTATCATCATCACCTCCTCTCTGCTGCTGGCCGGCAATTGGATCCGATATGCCGGCACGCGAGCTCGGGGCGGGATATTCGGGGTGGCCATGTTCGGCCAGATCCTGATCGGCCTGGCGCAGCCATTCTGTCTCAGTGCACCGACCCGGTACAGCGACCTCTGGTTCTCCGATCAGGGGCGCACGAGCGCGACGGCCGTGGCGACGCTCGCCAACCCCCTCGGCGCAGCTCTGGGGCAACTCATCGACTCGTTCTGGGCCACCGAGCCCGACGACGTCCCCAACATGGTGCTGTACATCTCGATCATTGTGAGCTTTCCACCCTCTGTCCACCCACCGCGTGACCAACACTCACCTCCACAAACAACAGGCGACAATCGCATCACTCCCATCCTTCATCCTGCCCTCCGCACCACCGACCCCGCCCAGCGCCTCCTCCGCCAGCCACCAGAACACCAACACAAGCGAACCGACCCCACTCCTCCCAACCGTCACGCAACTCCTGCGCACCCTCGAATTCTACCTCATCCTGATCCCCTTCTCCATCTACGTAGGCTTCTTCAACAGCGTCTCCTCGCTGCTGAACCAGATCCTCAGCCCCTACGGGGCCAGCGAGACCGAAGCCGGGATCGCGGGGGGCATCCTGATCGTCGTGGGGCTGCTGGTCTCGGCGCTCATCGCCCCGATCACGGACCGGTACAAGCACTACCTGGCCACGATCCGCATCCTGGTCCCCATCGTCGCCGCCTCGTACATCGGGCTGATCTTCGCCCCGGCCAGCCGCGCGGGCATCGGCCCCACGTACGCCGTGTGCGCCCTGTTGGGTGCTTCCTCCTTCGGCCTGCTGCCCGTCGTGCTCGAGTTCCTCGTCGAGATCACCTACCCGTTCTCCCCGGAGGTCGGGAGCACCCTCTGCTGGACGGGCGGGCAGCTCCTGGGCGCCGTCTTCATCCTCGTGCAGGACGCCCTCAAGGCCGGGCAGCACGCCTCCCCGCCGGAGAATATGCGGAACGCGCTCATCTTCTCCGCCGTCGTGGCGGCCGTGGCGGCCCCGCTGCCGCTGTGCATCGGGCTGTTTGGCCGCGACGTGCGACGCAGGCGCTTGGACGTGGATCGCGGGGTGGATCTGGGGGAGGTCGTCGGGGACGATGATGAGACCATTGACAACGACGCGGACGCGGACGCGGACGCGATCCGTCGCGGGGATACAGCCGGCAGTGCCGGCGAGAAAGGGAAGTCCAGATTCAAGTGGTCGGTCTCCTCAAGACAATAGTGTGTTGCAGGAACAGCGGTTGTAGTAGGGGGGTGCGTATGTGTTTTGCTCGCATGGCTGGGCACAGGCCCTGTCCCTTACACAAATCGGTCGCCATGTTCCGACAAATGCTGGTGATTATTCACACCCACTGAATCTGCAGCCTGGAGTTTGCAGATAGACCGCGAGGAGGTGAACTACGACCCATGATGAATATATGATTGATACCCGACATTGAATGCGAACCCTGGTATATGGATGTCCCTGTCAGTGTATAGTGCTATTTCAGTCTGCGAGCCTGCGATGCTATGCATTTCAATGCCCCAGGGCTTAGAACCTACATTCCAAGAAATAGACCAGACCAGTAGACACCCAGCAAATAACACCCTGACAACGCTAGAGCAGGTCCTTCAAAAATCTAGCGGCCCTGGCTCAGCCGGCCATGGTTCTCCCAAGTTCCCTTCTGACTTGGTGGGCGTGCACGGAGCAAAAGCGCCCGCTCTTCGTCCGGCGTGGGCAGAGCTGATATTCGATCTCGACTGGGCGGATGCTGACTTGGATGGCTTGAAAGTGCATTGCGGTGAAAAGAGATAAGGCTTCGGGCTGCCAAGGAAGTTATCAGCGGTAATGACTGCGGCGTTGAGCGGCGAAGAGACAGGGCGCAATGTCAGCGGAGGTGGATGGACAACACAGCAAGAGGTAGACCGAAGAAACACGTCCTGCCCCTGCGGGGCATCATATACACAAACCCAATCTAGAAAGCACAATTCACATTCATCTAAAAACAAAAGAGACCAAGTAAATAGTAAAAGCACAGTTCAAACAGGCAGAGACCAGCTATCTGTACATACACAGTAAAAGGGATTCTTGATCCAAATCCCTTTTTCCCTTCCTCCCCAGCTCACAATAAGACGAAAAGAACAGGAAAAGAGGTAGGTTTCTCCCCCTTCTATTCGTGTTCATCTATCCATGTAGCAGATGAAAAAAACAACAAGTATCTCCAAACCCTGTCGTTTCAGTGGCAGGGTTGACAGACACATTTTTTTCCTTCACCCTGGAACAACAAAAATCAAAGCCATCATACAACACTCTGAACCTGAAACGGAGACGGTTGTCTTTCTCGGGTACGCGATCGGTCTCCCCTATTTCGTCCCCGCGCGAGGGTTTCATTCCGTCGTTGTTATACAATCGAGACTGAGCTTAGCGGTGGTCATGACAATTTTCGAAAAGACACATCGCGCGGCGGAGGGAAAAGAGGGGCTAATCGTTGCGTGCGCAAGGCGTAGCCCGTTTAGGCGAGCTGCTTCCAGAGCTTGGGGGCGGCGCACTGGGTAGCGCAGTGCGTGAGGTGGAAGACTGTTGGTTGGAAGAGAGAAAAAGATGATTAGTCACACGCGGACATCCAGCGGCCATCTGGGGGTGCCTTCGGGAACAGGAAAGACAGATAGACGTACACTCCTCAACGCAGTCCTCCTTGGGACCCTTGTAGTCCTCATCCTCCTCCTGCTTGGTTACGCGCTCGATGCACTCATCGAAGTGGTGCTTGTAGGGGGCGCACTGGGCGGACTTGGCGCACTCTGCAGTTTGGGGTCATAAAGGTCAGCAAAACTGTCCAATTGAGTCTGAGACAAGCATGGAGTTGCGCGAGTTCGATACAGCGCCAATGACGCTGAATCAGCGGATGTTGTGCTGGTCGATTCCCGTCAGGAAGACTGGCGGACGGCAGGAATTGTGTGGTTGTCTGATATGTCAAGGACAAGCCGTTGCCGCGGCGGAATTCCAGACTTGATCCAACATCGAGCTTCAACGCAAACAAAATGCCATCAAGAAGTCGATCCAAGGATAATTAAACTCACCCTCCTCGAGCTTGGGCTTGATGTCCTCGGGCTCCTCCTCCTCTTCCTCCTCTTCTTCTTCCTCCTCTTCCTCCTCTTGGGGCTCCTCCTCGGAAGACTCCTCGGCGGGGGTCTCCTCGGCGGACTCCTCGGTGGACTCTTCGCTGGAAGCGGCAGCCTCCTCAGCGGGCTTCTCCTCGGAAGACTCAGCCTCCTGGCTGCTGGTCTCCTCGACGGACTCGGCGGGAGCCTCAGCCTGAGCCTCGGGGAAGCTGAAGGAGGAGATGACGTCGGAGAAGAAGTCGGCGAGACCCATTGTGTTCGTGTGGGGAGGGAGGAAACTGGTCAATTGATGACTACCGGGGAGAGCCTAGGGTTGGCGAAGGTGTGGGGGTGGTGGTGGTGGTGGTGGTGCGGTGGGCAGCAACGAGCGAGTTTGGATGAGGTTGGCGGTTTTGAGCTTTGGCACTTCCTTTGCCGTCTGGGAAAATCGGAACGCCCCGGCCGCCGGCGAAAGGCCAATTATCGCACCCATGATTGGCCGATTCTTGTCGGAAGGGAGATGACTAATTGCTGAACTACAGAATGGAATTACCCATACTCATAATGCCAGAAGATAGTATACAAGCCATCTGGAATTGATTGTTCCCTTTTCTCTTCTTTTCTCATACGCAACGACTGTAAGCCTTCATCAACTGGCCCGGCGCAGTCTTGCCTCCAATTCATCCGCCACGCTTTGCTGCTGGACCGTCTCATAGTCCGGCGGTGGTTCCACCATGGAATCCGTCTCTGCTGCATGAGGCTGACTCTGTGGACTCATGCATTGGTCCTGGCTGGCTTGGCCTCCCCCAGCATCATTGTTAGAAGGGCCAGAATAAGCTGGCAGCTCGTCCAAATGAATCGTGGAGAGGTCAACGTTTCTGGCTCCGCGACTGCTTGCTTGCGAGTTCTCGACCGCCTGCTGTAGACGCTCCTTGATTCGTTCGAAATGATTATGGAAGTCGAATGCGCCTCCTTCTTTAAAAGTCACTTTGACCTGTACTGCAGGCAAGGATGGAGGGATCCCGCCTCCCGACACGGGCTGGACCAGGGCGATCCAGGCATTTGGCCCAAAGAACGGAGCAGTGACGTGGGTATCATGAACATTTAGCAGCGGCGCAGAGAACGACTGAAATGTCTGCGATTTCTGTGTCGGGATATAGACAACCTGCCCAACTTATGTCAACCAGGAATCCCAGACCAGACCCCTGCAGGGTATGTGAGGAGATGGTAATACCCGTTGGTTTGTCAAAAAGATTTGACCAGCACTGCTTTGGATGGAAAATGAGTTTTTGCCTCCAGATGAGCTCAGCGGCTGTAACGCGAGGCTGGTGCGCGGTGGAGATGTATAGATCAGCTGCTCATGCGGTAGGCGGACAAAGCCATCCTGGTCATGGAGCATCACCCAGCTGTGCAATCACAAGTCAGACTAAGAACATCATAGCACAAGGTTTAACGATGAATGCAGTAGCATCGATGGTAGAGCAGAGGCAACCGGTGTCAGGCCAAGGCTAGCGATCCTTCATATGTTGATGGCGTAGAGAAAGCCCAAGAGGATGTTCCCCGGGACAAATAATTATAAGCAAGCGGAGAATGAGGAAGTCATATACATACTTGATCGACATAATGGGCCTAGCTATTGAGGCTGGATGTATGGTTTGATCTTGCAGATTATGGTGTTGTCTGGATGTACGGAGAAGTGACGGTAGTAACTTGCGTAGTTGGAATAACTGAGAGAAAGGACTGAGGATGTGAAGCCAGCTCCAGGGCAACCCAGGCTGAAACAACCGACAGACGGGAAGCCACAGGGGCAGGCTGTTGATCCTGAGGTCGCGAGTTCGAGATCGGTGAACAGATGAATTAGGATGTATGGTTGGTGATCCCCTGGCTGTTATGCAATAATCTGTAGGTTGGTGGTAGTATATCAGATCCGAGTTCTAGAAGTCCGATCGAATAGAATAGGATAAACTGCGGACAGGGACCGGACCGGATCAAACAGCCACCAATAAAGATAGGTGAACAGTGAGCCTAGATGAACCAGTGAATATGACGAGAAGGTCCCTGTGCTTTTCAGATGCTTGGGGAGTCACTTTGAGTACAGTTCGGATTGATAGTAGTGATTGATGATTAGGATAAGTGGAAGTGCAGTTAAATGGCACGGTGGGAATTGTTCATGTAATACTACTGGGTCCGCGGGGCGGCCGTCAGGCGGGGAACCTCCCAATCTCCCAATCTCGCAGAGTCATCTGAATACTAATACTCTTTCCAGATTGTATGAGTAGTGGATTTTCTTCTCTACAGTTGCCTTGTCCTACTCACTGCATCAACATATCCCTCACTTGGCCAAGGTTGCCTTTGAGCTGCACCTAGCAATCTAGTCACATCCAGACCACTTCTGAGCCTATGAATTCTGCAGAGAATGTTCGATGCTATAGTTAGTGTCTGGTTGATCCTCTAGAACTTCTTCGCGGAACTGCATACTACTGTACATATTGTACTAGACACTAAAATTAAACATGCTATGATACATGCACTATTCTACATTCAATGCCCACCTACCTACCTACCTACCTACCGCAAGGATTTCAGAAAGGCATTCCTTCTGCCGGCAAGTGTCTCTAGTGAAGCTTAGAAGAAGCAGCCACCCACATCACTCCCTACTTAGTGGCACACAATTTGGGTTGAGGAACAACTGAAGTATTAAGCTGATCTTTATTCATACCTTTCTTCTTATTCTGACAACATGCTCGCGGGGGGTGGACGGCCTTGTCTACCCACCGCGGGGGGCCGAAAAGGCAAGAGGGAAAGTGGAAAGTGGAAAGAAGGGTGATTTACACGTGGAGAAAGCCGTCGGATCCTCCAGTTTTGTTGCCCAGTGCCGACCCACACACAGTTTAACTTACAGGTTACGTTTCCGGTTTCCCCTTCGGTGTTTCTCCCTTGGCTCATTTATCTTCGCCTCGGTCGGTCAGCCTTATTCCAATTGCTTGGTTCCCCCAGATTCCTCCTGCCTGGCTTGACTTCGACATTGACTTCATCATTATTTCTTTTCCAATTGAGTGTGTTGCGTGGCCTGGTGACCGCCTGCCTGCCTTTGCCACCAGAAATTTCCCACCTTAAAACAGAAACAGTGTAGCCTGACGGGCACGGTCCTATCGGTCAAGGACCACATTGCGATACTTTCTTCTACCTCATATTTGAACTCTATTGCGGACTGGCAGTTTCTCCAGACTTTCTACCGTTGATTCCGAACCTGATTCTCTGTGTACCATACCTCAATTGTGGTAACTTGGACCAAACGCCGCAAGTACCGACTCGGCCATCCCCTTTCTCCGTCCGTGTCGCGAACTCGAAATCCCGAGGCCGCTCTTCCTTCGTCGTACCATTTTTGTGTGCTGCCAAACGAGAAACAAGAAAGAAATGTCGACCTCGATACACCTGTCGCGATTCAGGAAATGGCTTCTGGCCTCTCCACCAATGGAGTTTGTCATTGCGCAACTCCGGGAGTTGTTGGTTGGGGCAATCAAGCAGGGTCCAGTTCCACAGCATATCGCGTTTGTCATGGACGGGAACCGGAGATTTGCGCGGTCACATGGCATCGAGACCGTGGAGGGGCACAATATGGGCTTCGAGGCCCTGGCAAGAGTGAGTCGTTGCTCCAGAGTCGTCACGTTCTTCATTCATGCTACTGAGCTCTCGCTGACTTTTTTTTCTGTTTGGCTTTGTAGATCCTCGAAGTATGCTACAAGAGCGGAGTCAAGGTAGTTACGATTTATGCCTTCAGTATCGAGAACTTCAAGCGGTCGAAGTTCGAGGTGGACGCCTTGATGGAGATGGCGCGGGTCAAGCTGTCCCAGATGGCCCAGCACGGAGAGATATTGGATCGGTATGGTGCCAAAGTGCGGGTACTGGGCCGACTGGACATGCTGAAGCCCGATGTCCTCGCTGCCGTCAACCGGGCAGTCGACATGACGAGCGGGAACGGCGAGCGCATCCTCAATATCTGCTTTCCGTACACCTCGCGCGACGAGATCACGGGAGCCATCCGGGATACTGTATCGGAGTACAGCCAGCCGCTGCCGGCGAACCGCCCGTCGAATGCCAGCCAGCGTACGCCCTTCTCCGAGACACACATCACGCAGAATATCCGCGCCCGGGCGCAGCACACGAAAGCGGACGATCTTCCCAGTGACGTTGAGACCGCGTCGGAATCGTCTAACGAGGACGGTGCCCCTGCAAACAACCTTCCGAACCAGGTCTACGAGTCCGGGTCTTCGTTTTCGTCCTCCTCCACCCTGCATCTGGGCGGGCAGACGGACGCGGCCAACGGAAGGGAGAACTCGCCCCGGAAGGAGAAAGCCGTGTACATGTCCCCCGAGACGATTACCCGGCAGACATTAACCGAGCACATGTTCACGGGCGACAATCCTCCCTTGGATCTACTGGTCCGCACGTCGGGCGTGGAGCGGCTCAGCGACTTCATGCTCTGGCAATGCGACGAGGAGACGGAGATCGTCTTCCTCGACGTGCTGTGGCCGGATTTCGACCTGTGGCATTTCCTGCCGGTGTTACTAGGCTGGCAGCGTCGGATTTCCAAGGCGAAGAAGAACCCGGACGCGGAAGGCGACTTCGACGGGGAGAGCTATGAGCCCACCGAAGAAAGCAATGGTAAGAAGGTCAAGGGCTTGTAGTCGGAATTGCGATTTGCACATATATCATCGAGAACACCCCCAGGAGTTAGGAGTTGCTTTTTTGACGCAGCAATTGGAAGTGATATTCCCCTTTGTTTCATCCCCATCGTTTGGTACTCGTTTATAGCGCAGCAGAGGTAGAAAAGTGAACCATGGGCGTGGCGTGTATATACGCATGCATACAGACAGACAGACAGACACACATACACACATAGACCAGAGATACAGTACACATGCAGCATACAAGTATGCAAGCAAAGCATAAACTGATCCACTGACTCGGTGCAAATCATCACTCATACGGTGTATAAATAGGGCGGGTCTTATCTGCCTGAGTCAGTGGCAACAGCAAATAGAATTGCGTGAATGCGCCGTGCTCCGATACCGGGTTGCACGTGACTCGGAGCGGCGGGGAAAGGTGTGGCAGCTACAGTAACGTTAGTAACCCTGGGGTCAATGACCAGGCCATTCGACTTTGACTTTTCTTCTTCTCTTCTTTTTTTATCTTTCTTCTTTCCATCTGGATCATCTCCTCCCTTCCCATTGACCGTCTATATTCTTTCACAATGGCTATCGCAGGCTCCAAGGTTCTCTTGCTGGGCTCCGGTTTCGGTATGCTCTGCCCTCTCCGCAATGCGGGGTGACTCACTCACTTTCACTTGCACTTTCACTTTCACTGCCATTGACACTGATATCGGGAATAGTGACCAAGCCCACCGTCGAGGTTCTCAGCAAGGCCGACGTGCACGTCACCGTCGGTAAGCCATGACCCCCAACCCCTAAACCCAATCCTCAGAACCCAGAACTAACCCCCTCCAAGCCTGCCGCACGCTCGAATCCGCCCAGAAACTCAGCGAGGGGTTCAAAAACACGACGGCGATCTCGCTGGACGTCAACGACGATGCGGCGCTCGACCAGGCACTAGCCAAGGTCGACCTGGCCATCTCGCTGATCCCCTACACCTTCCACGCGCAGGTCATCAAGGCCGCCATCCGCACCAAGAAGCACGTCGTGACGACCTCGTACGTGTCGCCGGCCATGATGGAGCTGGACCAGGCCGCCAAGGAGGCCGGGATCGTCGTCATGAACGAGATCGGTCTGGACCCTGTACGTTTGCCTTATCCTGCCCTTGCCCTTACCCTGCCCTTACCCAGAGTCCCCTCCCCACCTCCCTCCAAACCCCAAACCCCGACCCCCACCCAATCCAAATACTAACAAGGAAAAAAAAAAGGGAATCGACCACCTCTACGCCGTGAAGACGATCTCGGAAGTCCACGCCTCGGGCGGCAAGATCACGAGCTTCCTCAGCTACTGCGGTGGGCTGCCGGCGCCGGAGTGCTCCAACAACCCGCTGGGGTACAAGTTCTCGTGGTCGTCGCGGGGGGTGCTGCTGGCGCTGCGCAACGCGGCGAAATTCTACCGGGACGGGGAGGAGTTCAGCGTGGCGGGCCCCGACCTCATGGCGACGGCGAAGCCGTACTTCATCTACCCGGGGTTCGCGTTCGTGGCGTATCCGAACCGGGACTCGACGCCGTACCGCGAGCGGTACAGCATCCCTGAGGCCCAGACCGTGATCCGGGGCACCCTGCGGTACCAGGGCTTCCCCGAGATGATCAAGACGCTGGTCGACATCGGGTTCCTGGACGACACCCCGCAGGAGTACCTGGCGGCGGGCGCGACGATCAGCTGGAAGGAGGCGACCCAGAGGATCCTGGGCGCCACTTCCGCCTCCGAGAAAGATCTGGAGTGGGCGATCGCCAGCAAGACGCAGTTCGCCAACAACGACGAGCGCAACCGCATCATCTCCGGGCTGCGCTGGATCGGCCTGTTCTCCGACGAGCCCACCAGCCCCCGCGGCAACCCGCTGGACACGCTGTGCGCCACGCTCGAGCAGAAGATGCAGTACGGCCCCGACGAGCGCGACCTCGTCATGCTGCAGCACCGCTTCGAGATCGAGCACAAGGACGGCGCCAAGGAGACCCGCACCAGCACCCTGTGCGAGTACGGTGTGCCCGGCGGCTACTCCGCCATGGCCAAGACGGTCGGCGTCCCCTGCGGTGTTGCCGTCAAGTTGGTGCTCGATGGCACGATTAACCAGAAGGTTTGTTTCCCCTTCCCCTTCCCCTTCCCCACCCCCTTTGGTCCGTCAGCAAAGTAAGAATAGAAGCTAATCGGTGATTGTGGGCGGTAGGGTGTCATCGCTCCCATGACCATGGACATCTGCACGCCTCTCATCAAGGCCCTCAAGGAGGACTACGGCATCGAGATGATCGAGAAGACTTTGTAAACATTTTACCAGACGTTCTTCTCGCGTGTGTGTTACGAACTCAATTAATGACGTGAAAATGGCCCGGGGTGGTTTAGATAGCGGCAACAAAAGGCTAGGGTAGAAAAAACCAATACTATTTTACGCAATCGTACCTATGAGTATCTCCTTGAACTAAATTAGTGATAAAATATATCCAGAACCATTTCATCTTGCATTGAGCACTCGGAGTTGTACCGGTATAGATACTCGACTACGGAACGAAAGCCAGAGGAAATATGTACTGTACTATTCATCGTCCGTCTATCGTGGACTCGTCGAACACCTGCGCGCGCGTGCCCCCTCGCCGCCGACGGTACAGGGTACGTGCGTATATATCACGAAAAGGAAGAAAGGAAGGTATGATGACAATGCCTGCAGCGCATAATGCCTGCGTTATGCCCAGGAATCCCCCAAACGCCTCAACCCACCCCAATTACGAAAAACGAAATCGACGACGTGCGTTGATATGGACAGGTTTATGGCTTTAGATCATCCTCAACTCTCTCTCTCTCTACCCAATTAAAGTGTTCCCAACTGAGAAATTTATGAAAGCTTCACATATATTCATGAGTGTGTTCAGAGAATAGTGCCAAACCTAAACCCAGCAAGAGGACAACCAAGGCGATCAGTAGCTGTTTTCCAGAAAAGGTCGCTGGGGAGGACCTGGTGTACACAGGACCTTTGTAAGGAAGCAAATTGGGGAAACAGGGGCCTTTTGATAGAACATACCCGAAAGTCTGCTTGATACTGCGGACGTAGTACACGTCCCAGTTCTGCTTGGTCACGTCCTCCTGGCCGACGGGGACGCCGGTCCAGGTCACGCGCATCTGGGTCACACCGTCGACATCGTTCTGGTCGAGCTTGATGTCGAGCGTACTGAAGTGACCCTCGGGCCATTGGGCCAGGCGCCACTTCTGTGTGATCTCGGTGGGCTCGAGCTTGACGTACTCGCCGCTGACATTGCCGTCGAAGATGGCGAACTTGCCGCCGACGTGGGCGCCCTCGAACTGGCGGGGAGCACCGCGGGTGAACGCGGCAATGCGTTGAGGGTCGGTGAAAGTGTTGTACAGCTCCTCGGCGGTGGTGCGGAACTCGTCCGAGGCAGTCACAGTGGTGGTGTTGACCGAGACCTTGTTGCTAGTGGTGGTGGTAGTGGTGACGGGGGCAGCGGCCTCCTTCTTGACCTGGGGGTGGTACTTGGGCGCAGCAAAGCCGCTGGAAGGGTTGACACCAGGGGCATGCTGGAGGTCCTTGCCGTGCTCAGTGATCAGAGCCGGAGCAAGCGTGGCGAGTTCCTTGCGGAGCTGGGGGACGAGCTTGGAGCGAACTAGGTCCTTCACGGCCTGCTTGGAGGGGGAATCGGAGTAGTTCTCGATTTCAAACTGAGTAGCCCAGACGGTCAGTCAACCCCCTTCAGGACGGCAATGGGGGCGGCTGATAGGGAACATACGACGTACTCATCTTCCTCGGTATCATGGGCTACCTCAGGAATGGTGATGGTACCACTAACGGACTCCTCGTCCTTGGTCTTACCTGTCAAAAGGTCTTAGTCGCGCCTCGGAAAGAAAGCACTCTTGTTGTCATTTACGAACCTTCATACTCCAGCTGTACTTTGACGTCGAACAAGGTGATGACCTTGCCCTTCCGCTGGCTGACGTCTACATCGCCATCCATCGACAGCAGGTTGGAAATCTTGGCGGAGGCGCCATTGTCCTCTGCGGAGACGACAACGAGCTTCTCCTTAAGGTAATCTTTGGCCCAGCCCGAGGCGTCCTTGTTCACCCAGTGCCAGTTGTTGGGGTTGTGCAGAACCATGTTGATTGTTTTATTTTATTTAAGGATTGGTCTAATGACTTGGTTGCAGGAAGAAGCTGCTTCTATTGCGGGGCAAAACTTCGCTAGTGTGGGAAATTTTAGCGAGTTTTAAAACTGCTTGGGTTTTGAATTCCCACTGAGATGGAGGGAGGCTAGGTTCTGAGGAGACACAATGGATGATTAGCAAAAGTCTCCAGCCAGTGTTTCATAGAGCATAAAGCATCAAAGGTGTGAAAGAATGTCAGGATCCAGATAGCGTTTCCGGATCGCAAGCTAATCAGCATGGAGGATAGAGTAAATATCCCCGTCTGACTGGTGCCAGCTATGATGTCTCATCATAAAGAAATATTGTGTAAAGGAGGGGTGCATTGTGAAGGAAAAGAGTGTGAAAACTCAGTGCGACTCACAGTTTGGAAACAAGACGTCCGGAATTAAGACGCTGTAAAGATGATAGATCAATCAAGGTCCACTGGAGCAATGAAAGGTAGGCGAGAGTAAGAAAGAAAAGGTACCGTGGGAAGGAAAGGTGATTGAGGGGGAGCGAGTGTGTTAAATAATGACTGACACCCGACCTGGCTTTTCTACGGAGAGGAGTTTAGGTTGAGGATTCGGAAGGAAAGCTCTAGAAGATTTAATTTCAATGCCGGGTCGTGGGGACTCAAGGTCACGTGCGAAGGCGGTCGGCCACATCGCCTAATTGCTGCCATTCTGCCTCAAACCTGCCTACGGAGACTACTCAGTAAACCTCCATAGATCCGTCGATCCATCAATCAATCAATTCAGTAACGAGCGAATGTGGGGTATCTTATAGCAATCAAACAGAAAAAGGAAAAGGAAAAAAAAAAAAAAAAAAAAAAAAAAAAACTCAAGGCAATACCGGTCCAGCCTACCACTTCTTTTACTCATGCCTGCTCCAACTGTTCAATATCATCCCACCCATTCTCTGCAATGAGTTGCTCCTTTACCCGCTCCCGTAACCCTTGGATCTGACTTCCAAGCGCTTCAGCCCACTGACCTTCCACTGTAGCAACCTTATCCTTCAGGTCACCGGTCAATGTACGCTCTTCGTCTGCTCTGAGCGCTTGCAGCTCTTGTAGGACCTTGGTCTCCGCCTCGCCCTGGCAGATGCGCTCGGCTTCCACGAGACTGCAGTTCGCTTTCATCACCGCCGACTTGACCTCGTGCAACAAACAGAACAGGTTGATCTGCGACTCAATGTACTGGTAACTGGATTTCTCGGCATGCGAGACAAGCGTGTAGAGATATTGCAGCGGATGCTGGTGGTAACTGGGGTTCTCATCATATTCATTGACGGGGATCTGAACCAAAAAGCCACGGACATCCTCCGGGATCTGTTGGACCAGGGCGAGAAGAGGCGGAGCAATGTCCCAAAAGGCAGACAGCTGGATTTCCACCCCTCGAGCCACGTTCTCCTCAATCACATCCAAGAATGACTCCAGGCGAGCCAAGGCACTGGCCTCGTGATTGACTCGACGGTCCAGTGCGTCTTTCTGAAAGAAGGCACGGGTTTCAAGCACCTTCTCATCGTTCCCAGCTTGCTTATATGGCAGCAGAACCACTGCCTTGTACTTCTCATCCCGATCACTGATGAGTTCAAAGACTTCGCGGTGTAGATTTTCTCTGGCCTCAAAGAGCCACTTGAGTTGGGTGAGCTTCTCCAGGAGTTCTGGTTTCTCGTCACCTTCCTCCTGTGTTTGGTCTGGCGTCCCACACCGCGCGTCGTCAAATAGCTTGCTGCGTAACTCGTCGATGCAAGATGTCGCGCGTTCGATTCGGTCTCTCAGTATCGCGCGCATCGGCTTGAAAACCGATTCTTGAAAATCATCTAACTGTCTTTGCACAACCTCTCTCTCAAGGGCGTCTTCCTCCACCAACAACGCTGCTTCGGCTTCTGCGGCCTCCGCGAACGTGATACTACCTTGTTGGATCTCGCTCTGAATGTTGGCCTTAAACTGTCGACGACCATCCTTGACTCGGGTTTGGTGCTTCTGAAATAGGACAGCCACCTCGGTCTCATGGCGTTGCCGAGTAGCTTTGATCTCAGATATATCGGTAATGGATCGAACCAACGTCCGATAAGTTACAAGGTCGGGGTGACTATTATTCACAGCAGGATAATGTCGGGGGTAAGGTGGCGGTAGGGTAATAAGCCTCGAAACATCCATCTTCGACCTCTCTTCACGCCGTTCGAGACGGCCAATGCCATTGCGGCTCGGATGAACCGGCATTTCAGGCTCCTCATGCCACCCGACCTTCTCAGGAGGATATTCATCTGGACCGTAAGTTATGCGTTGGCCGGTTGAATCCTGGTCACCGCCAATGCCACTCCCGGAAAGACTCTGGCCTTCTTCAAGGAGCAAGGCCTCACGCGGCAGACCCATGTATTTGCTCTCCCTCTTTGACCGCTGTACTCTTCTCTCCCCTCCTTCACTACTGGAGCCAGTTTTCGATTCCCACCAACGACTAGGAGCACGTCCTCGGGAGCTCATCTCGTCATTGCTGAGACCCAGGCTGGCAATCGGCGAGAGACACGGCTGGTAATTGTTCCACCAAGCAGACTCGGGCCGAGATTGAGGAATGTCCAGCTTGGGCTTGGGGACTGCTACGTTGGATACCCTCTTGGGGGGCATTACAGGAGCGATAGCAGGAGCCATTTGGGTTGTCTGCAAGGTCTTCGGTGGCAACTCGAACAGTTGCCGAACCACCTCATCCACGTCAAAGGAGCCCGTGTTCCAGACTTTAGCATATTTCTCGCGTCGGATCTGAGATTCCGCGATAATGAACTCCGTGAACAATTGAAGTGCTTCCTTCTCGTCCACAGCATCCGCCTCTTTCTCAATGAAAACCTGATGCCTTTGCGTCGCGTTTCGGAGGAACTCATCATCGCGCTTGATGACCGAGTCCAGAGAGGGGCCTTGCTGGGCTGAGAGGCGGCGCGGTGCCAGGGGCGATACGGCGGGAACACTGTCATTTGGCAAGTGCAGGATATGTGACACTGGACGCTCATCTTTGGCTCTCGACTGAGATGGCGATCGTTCCTGTCTCGGCTGAAGTGGAGGTGTTGGAAGGGTTTTTGACGGGAGCGCCGGCGACGTTCGCTTCGATCGTTCCGTACCCGGCGAGAATGGCGGAGTCTGTGCATACCCAGCCGGGGCTCCTAGCGGGCTCGGCTCAGCTTTAGGAGTCGAAAATGGGGATCGATTCGAAAACAGGCCTCCAGAAGACGCTCTGGATCTGGATGGCACTTGCTGCTGCATTTCGGAGCCCACACTGCGCGTACTGCGTGGCGTGATTTTGGCTGAAACCTGGTGTGGTGTTCTCTCCGATTCACCGTTGGTGTCCTCTAAGACCAAGTTGGACGGTTTTATCTTCTCCAGTGCTTCAGCCCACGGGTTACTGCTCATGGATACCGCACTGAGATCGTCCAGGACTTGACTCTGCCGGTTCCTGCGTTCGATCCGTCTCTCGCGAATGCCCTTGGCGTTGGGATCTTTGATGGCCGGGCTTCGAAAAAGACCACCGCTGACAGAGCTTTGTGCTGTTTGAGAAGTATCATGCGATGTTGAACTGCTGCCAGAGGCAGTATTCATAGTATCTATGCTCAGGGGCATCTTCTCGTTCTTCGGTCTGACTACTGAAATGGTTTCGTCCACCCAGCCAGCAGGTGTTGGTGGTATGCTATCGAGAGTGGTTCCTAGAGGCGGAGGCGCCCGCGCTTTCCCGGTTCTCGCAGGGACTTGCTGAGTGCGCGCAGACGACGCATCAGACAGCCCGTTCACACTTTGTGACCTTGTGCTCGGCGGAGGACCTGGAGGAGGTGGAGGGAGGGGCATTCCTGGCTCCCAGCCTTGTGTTGGAGGTGACCGACTTCGAGTTTGACTGTGAGCTCTGGATGAGCTCGTGCTGCTCACCACGGGTCCCGCCGAGACGGCTCTTCGTGAAGCCGGAGGACGACCTGCATCGTCCATGCCGTCCAACCCTGGCAAATGACTGCCATTATTTGATTGCGAGGCCCGCAGACCCTCCGGTGAGACGACGACATACGGTCTCGACCCTATTGATGCGGCAACCTGGTCCTGGTAAGGCTCTCCTCTGCTACGAGACGATGACCTGGATCCTGCGAGACTCTGCGGTAGCGGGGGTGGAGGAGGCAGGGAGACTCGTCGGTTCCGGCCAGATTCGTTTCCTACGAACATAGATATCGGGCGCGCCCGTGGAAGACGACGCTGTTGAAACTCCGAAGCTTGATCCATGCTCGGGCGCAATGCTCCTGTGTTCGAAGAGCTAGCACTCGGGGATGTCGAGCCCAAGGAGGAGGTGTTATGGCTGACATTATCTCTGGATTGCTGCTGGTGCTGATGACTTGGGGGCGAGTATGGAGGTGGTGGTGGTGACAACGATACATCTGCAACGATCACATTAGGCCTTTTTCAACTCCGGACTGGAACTGCCCACGTTATCTATAGCTACAATGATGGAGAGGGGCATGGAATATAGAACGGGGATCAGACCTGAGTGAGGCCCCGATGAACGTGGCTGGGGCACAATCCTCAGCATGTTATTTGCCTGAGGATAACTCTGTTGCCCCGGGTTCACTGAGGAATGTCCCACCGGGCCCCAGTCCTGGGGGTTATAGGGCACGTTATACTGCCGGGACGACATGGGCGAAGACCCGAGGGCGAGTCCTCCAGGAGAAGCCACTACAGGAGACTGGCCGTGGGTGAACGGACTCGACAGAGATGTCGTCGAAAGAGGCGCAGGGGAATATGCTGCCCCCAGACCAAGCCCAAGACCTTGGAACTGACTATTGTTCAAGGCTGTTGTCAAAGGAGGAGGCTGCACCGCATGCTCGCGACGACGGGGTGAGATTTGGTTGCTGTTGCTGTGATAGGGACTCGGCCAGCTGCTCAGAGGTTGTGCACCAGACGCCAGCTCGTCGCCAGCATTGCTCGAAGACTGCCAACTATCGAGAAGGCTGT